GTCGCGAATGCGTGAGTCAGGTAGGCCTAGTGAGGCATGAGTGAGGCCACTTGGGGCCAACACCGAAACCACGAGGAGTCCTGCAGAGAACGTAGGCAGAACCGGCGCAGCGTTTGTAGGTACGCTGCATTCGCTTTACTAATCGCGTGTTTACATGCTGGGTCTCTTTATTTCAGGTGGTGGGTTTGCTATATTGCCCTAATGTTTTTTAAATCTCATCACTTTCTACCTGAACTATCTTCTATTAACTTTCACACATGGCATAAGCTAATTGTAGTTAATTTTGATAACATTTTCGTGTTTGTGACATTTTCTTACAATATGTTTTCTAACTTCTTGAACCTTTCGTGAATTTTTGGCAACCAATTTATTTCAAATGCTCATTTATTGAAGAGTTATGTCCCCCTCTCTGTACGCATTATTCGATTTATTTTATTTGCTATCGTCGTTTCAAGTGCTTGGCTGTTACTTGATAGCCCCAGTGTGGCGCTTGATGTGCATGGTGGCAAGGTGCCTACCTGTCTATTACCTCTTACCTCGTCCATGCTGGCTCCATTAGACAGTTGGTCATTGTTGATGGGGATGGGGCGCACGGTTTTTGTGGCCGTGTTAGGATCAAAGAATGGTTCCATACAATCAGTTTGGAGCGGACTACGGTCCAGCCACCGCCTTGTGTGCACTTGATTCCCCAAATGCAGCGTGCTTGTGTTTGCCTGTGAAGGAGTGTGGGCCGGCTCCGTTGATGTGACCTGGATTCCATCCGCGTGCCTCCCGGTCTTATTCCTTCGAGTTTACACTGGATATGGGGTGTGTGGTTGATGCATCAGAAGCCATCCTCGGAACCACTATATACGCAGGCGTCCTGTGGCTGGCTTCAGTGACAGGCAAATCCGAAACCTGGTGCCATGAATCATATATCTAATCATTGGAATGAGTGTACGCAGTAAATAAAATTTATGCATAAGTTGTTTCTTGTGTTGTTTTTAAACACCGATTTGCCATTTTTTTCACTGATGCTGATCGATAAAAGGAGTTATGAACGCACACGACTCCTCCATCACATCCGGTTTCGCGCTGTATTCTCAAGCGTTCCTGTCAGCTATATTCTTCTCCTCTACCAGGAAGATGTAAGAGACGAAGAACATCTAATCTGAAGGTTTACACTTTGATGTTTTGTCGTCGTTCGGGAGGCTGACCACCACGCGATTTCTTCCAGTGCCTGCTTAATTGAGTGCGCCTTGTTAGTGGCTTGCATGGTTTACGTAGGACATGACCCGGCGATTTCAGTTGGCACAGTGGTACTAGCTTATCGAGAGGGAGGCCCGTATTACCGAAGACGCGGTGTCTAACATCGTCGTTATAAGCCTGGTGTTCCCACCACTCACGAGATATTCTGTGCCGAAGAGCAAAATTCGACGCATCTAATTAACACAAATCGGATGAAGACTCACTTCTATACATTTTCGATCGAACACAGGCATTTTAGGACTTCCCCTTACAACGACGCCGCGAATGCATCAGGATAGCGAAAGTTCTTGGCGCCTTGGCAATGCGAAGAGAAGTCTCCCTTCTTATGGTGCCATCAACAGAAATGCATATAATGCTTGGTAGCTTCAATCACCAAGCGGCTTTGGATGGTTAGCATACTCTGACAGTTTGGCAGTAGAGTTGGCGCTCCTCGAAGAGTTGGGGGAGCGTAAACTTGTGGCCTATACTCTCTCTCGACCAGGTCGGAAATCAGCTTTTTTCATATGAATGCATTATGGAATCGACGTAAGTCTGTGGAGTAGGGTGGATGTTAACAATTCGGAGGCGACCGATATAAGGCTGAATCCTCTTTGGTTGGCACATCAGGTCGCTACGATAAGCCACTCGCCTCGTGAAGATTGAACTTTTTACGCTAATTATTGGAGAGCAGAGATGTTAAAAAATTGACTGTTACTTCCTTACCGTATTTGAATAGCTTGGGAGGAAGTTTATCTGAACCAGAATGCTTGAATCGATTCTAGTGACGAAGCTAAAGGCAAACTCGCTTCGGTGAGTGGTTCCAGTTATGCATCTGAACGCGTGCAATTAAGCACATTTGTTGAACAGGCGGAAGGAGGATACCAACTAATTTGACAGTGGAAGTGCTCAGCCCAACAGTCCATGCGTCTGCCTTGAGTGGTTGGTGATCCATCAACCCCACAAATAGCGTTAGTGATAACGCCAGGTCTTCTGTGGCCAGTAGTGCTAATGATCTGGAGGGGCTTGCTTAAATTTCCAGAAGGAGCAGCTGTCTCCATCTCTGAAACGTGCTGAAACCACCAGGTTTCACTTTCAGTACGTAGATTTCGCTTAAGTTGCAGGCTGAGGTTGTAGCGGAACTCTGGGATAGCTCGGCGACCGTCAGACAATTCCAGAGCGGAGATGAAGCATCCCGGAGGGCGCCCATTGAATCTACAGAATGACCTTAAGGGAGGATTGTTTTCTGCAATAAATTCCGGTAATGTTCATCGTCATGGAGTGGATAACCCAGGAACGCAACTGATAAGGAATATTGATATGCCAATTGCACGGAGTTAGCTAGGCTGTTGATGTTAAGCGTACGATGCCTTGGTTTCGAGGAACCCCCGAAGCCCACGCGGATATCCACACAAATCAGAGCCTAATCGGATTCGGAGTAGGTGAAACGAATTAATCTACAATCCCCTACCCTGCCCCCCATCTAAACATGATTGCAATGTAATCATATTGTGGTCACGCTTGCGTTGGCGAAGTGCGACACCAGGTGGTGGCGCCTCTCATCGAATACCTGGAGTTCGTGCTCCAGAGAACGATCGGTTGTCCTCACATGACTTGAGAAGTCAGAGCGATCCTCATCAAGGGCATGACGGCCACCAATATGACGTTCACACAGCAACAGGCGACCGACCCGTGCATTGAGGTCGCCGGCAGGGATGATAAGTTTTGACTTTCGGCTTTCCTTAAAGCTGCGACAAAAGTCGTCCCTAACTGATGCATAACTGCAGTCGCTTGGAGCTTAGACGGAGATCATAAATAAATTGCGTCTGTCTCCATGATGTCTCTTGCTATGAGCCTTGTATGAGCCTTAAGTCCGAACTGCATACAGGCGGCTGTAAATCGGAGACCACTTGGACAACGCCATCTCAGCTTTGTCGCTCAATGCAATGCCAACACCAGTCGAGACAGCTGGAGGTGCCTCTGTCAACAGACAGAAGCAGGAAATATTTAGTTCCAAGGTCAGCAGGGACGTAAACCTAGCCAGGATGCTGGAGTCCTGTACTTGAGGATCCGAAGGGGGGGACAAAGATCGTTAGGGGCTCTATGGTGCGCGCTAAACCCACGTGATGCCAGATTTGCATTAGGGTTCAAACATTGTGGGCTACCAGCTAGAATGAAGGTCGGACTCGAAGGAGGGCCACTGACCAGACTCTTGTGGCATATGGAGTAAATGCAAGGGAACGAGAATTCTTAACTAAGGTACATTAGACGTGTGATGTAGTTGCGTGCGCGTTGAAGAAGACAGGAGCGTAAAGTACGACGTAGTAGGACATGATACTACCCGGTTGCCGAAGCCGAAGTATGGTGTTGTCTTAGAAGACACCATCTCCCACAGCAGAGCGAAGTCAAAGAATCGCACCCATTGTGAGCCATTGACTGACTGTTCATTTCATACGCCTCTTGTTAATTCGATTGCCAAACATGGGTCCAGTCATTTCCATGAAGCCAGCAATAGGCTGCTGCAATACAATGTCATACCGGGGTGAAGTAAGCAGCAATGTATTCATTTAATGATGAGTTACGTCCGTCACTTCACATTGTTGTTAAACGGACATATTTGGCTTTTTATTGGGAGAACAGTTGTTAGGCGAAAATCCACTACGTCCTGGAACACTGCCGCCGAACCATTCGCTTGAACGGGGTACTCCCGAACCGCGCAGCTGACAGCACGAGGTTGTTCGGCAATTCAGCCGATGAATTCTCTTGAGCTCGTCTGTTCTCTTATTGATAACTAGGTTAGATCTAGCCTACCTGATCTTTAACTAATGATCCCAACTATGATTTGTCCTAGCGTTGCTGGGAAAGGTCCACTCAACATATGTCGATGAACACCTTCGGCATGAAACAACCACTTTATCTTGATGCGCAGTGCCGCCGTGGCTCAGTTACCTCAACTCGAACGAAAAGCTTCAGCTTCGCAACCGGCTCTTTGCATCCCATTGCTTGTGTGTTCAGGTTTTACCTTTGTTAGCAAGTCATCCTAAAATTAACCGAGGCCAGTTGAAATAGTTATCCTGCTCGAATATGGGCGTTCAAACTGTAATCATATTACTCCTAGCTTATTCATTTTGCGTTCCCTTTTTCGGATTATGTACGAAGTGGAGTTCACTAGTTAACCAAAGCAGATATACCCATGACTAAACCGTCCTTCACATCACAACTCTTCCGGAGATGCGGTTTTCTGAATATAGCAGTTAAGATCAACTCAGAATCCCCTCTGTTTTCCTCTTGTTTTCTTACGGAAACTTACCCGTTGATGTCCTCTTCCATTTATTTGATCTCTCACTCCGGGTTACCTCTACCAGCTTGCCGCGATTGATCATCTGTTTTGTAAGCCAGATATGTTATTTCAGACATCAGTATGAATATCTCAAAGGAATTTTGCCACCGACACGTTTACAACCGAACTATCACTGCACATTAGAAAAAAGCAGTGAACCTACGCTTCATTCCCTCGGGGATCATCAGAAGCGCGCATTCCATCTGTTACCATTGTAGCGAGAACCCACGGTCCATCTCCTAAGAGTCCATGGTTAAGATCACGGGAATAAGCGGCATTCGTCGTGATCAAACCAATTCTTACACTGCACCTTAATGCTCTTGTTATATCACGAGATCTTGTTGCTATTTCCCCACTATTTGCCTCAGAATGATTAGTTCCTTTTTATTGGTGTGTTATTGTCATTCGAAACTTCGATTCATCTTTGATTTCTTAGCTCATCGGAGAAAGTGGGAGACATTACATGTGAAGCTTCTCAACAAACTCAAATTCCGTGCTCGTCCAGAACGCTGGGAAACAGTTTTGGGTCGCTTCTTGCTGATTCATGCTAGCAACGTGGACGGTTTGGCTGATGCAGCCGCTATACTCCAAGCAAATCTTCTAGATGTTCCTGGGTCAACCTCCGCGAGAAATGATCGATACTATGATTTGGACACCCTCACTAGGACGAAAGTCTTTCTGTCCTTGTTGGAGTCACAATTTGATCGGAACCAGTCATTTAAAGAGAAAGTCAATAATCGATCACCTTTGGAACTCCGCTTTCAACCGTTGGGTACAGACGTGTGGGGGCAGGTATATTGGCTTTTAAAAGATTCCGAGGTCAACATTCTTATGTATCGCGAAGACCCAGAGCACCAGAATATTCGTGTAAGCCACTTGTTGCGTGCTGCCTTTTCGAGTTTTTATGATGCTGTCCATCGGATAGAGCTTTCAGCTCTGATCAACCAGTATGATTTCCTTCCATAATCATTGATATTTCGAAAGTGACCATGTAAATGAAACTGTGACACGACTTCTAGCTACATAAATATCGATAGTACGTCGTTAACGCCGCTAACGTCCCATTATGGATGTTACCGTGAGTGCTGATCGAATTGGGACGTTTGTGCAAAGATCAACGTTGTCCTACTGAATTGTTCATACGTTGAAACTCCTAGTGATATTTGAATCTAAGGAGTCAACCTCGAGAGATTGTTTCGACATATTTCGTTTCTTCACATTTCAGTGTTCTTTAATACTTTTTAGCCCATTACAATGAGACTGCACCTTACCTTGGTGCGATGGTATGTGTGCCTCAGCGATCCATTGAGCTATGCTGGGTGGTGCTTTTATTGCACCATCAGAGCCACTCATACCAAATTGGTCAATGGTTAGAGGCCAGACAAACTCATCCTCCTGGTCCTCCAGCCTGGTGGTTGGAAGGAGATGGCTCCTTATTCCCTAAAACAGACTACTTGTAGCCAAACGCCGAACCCGCTACCTTGCGGTCAGGTTTTTGAATCAAAGGCTTTGGTTGAGAACCCTAATCGTTCTCCTGTCTAGGCCTGGGCAACCTGACAGTAGCCTGCCCACGCAATACAATGAATTTCTCTTCAAACAGTTACTTTATGCTCTGGCCACCGCAAAAATAATCAACGGTGCCCTATCTGCTGCATCGAGCAGGGTAGATAGGGATTTGGATGCTATTTCTCAAGCCTTTCCATCTTCTTATTCCCTCTTACATTGTTCACACGTACCGTCCTGTTCCAACGTCACTTTTATCCCCCCTGTTTTCACCCCCCAATTCTTGGCTCTCCCCAACCTTGCTTTGCTAGGCTTTCGCCTTCTAGTTTTAACTCATATGTGAACGCGGAGCGTCATTCCTGTCCTGTTGACAAGCCCATGTCCAAGCAAGCGGCCCATTCCAGTTCATCGACTTCCATTTGGAGCCCTCGACCCTCATTCAGACTGGCATGCCTCAATGTACGCACGTTGCTACAGATCGGTCCACAGGCATCATTTGCCCGAACATTAGGGACCCTCTCGATAGATATCTGCTACTTATCGTAGACTCGCCTTCAAGACTCTAGCCCTGTGCTCACTTTATGACCCCCTTCAGATGACACCAACAGCACTTCCGCATTGCGCCTATCTGCTGACGATGCAGCTTCGAGCACTGGCCAAGTCGGTGTTGGTATCGCTCTGAGTCCCAGGACTGAAGCTGTTCTGGTTGACTGAATTTCAATCAGTAGCCGGATGTGTGCGGTCCGATTGGCTGGCTCGTTCAAAGCTTCGAAGCTGCACGGGACTAACAGGTGTCTATTCGTCATCGCTGCCTATGCACCCACAAATTCTGGCGATGATTCGGTAAAAGAGGACTTCTATCGCCAATTGAACGAGCACCTTCGCCACAGAAGAAGCTCAGACACTTTTGTACTTGCTGGGGATCTGAACGCTCAAGTTGGAAAGTTCTCCACTGATGAACTGCATCTGAGCGGCCAACGTGGTATAGGCTCCCGTATTGATAACGATGAGCGGTTACTTCATTTGTGTGAAGACGCTCGCTTATTTCTGGCGAGCACTTATTTCCGACCCAACACCCGCCGGAGGGTGGCTTGACGCCCACCAACCTCGAACCAGCTATGGACGCAAATCGATCACATTGCGATAAGTTACTGATGGAGAGGCTGCGTCCAGAATTGTCGCTCGATTTCGAGCACAGGTGTTGACACCGACCATGCACTTGTGTGTGCTGACCTGCGGATGCGTTTTGGCAGACGCCCAAGACGACGTTGTGAGCGCATTGATACCAGCCAACTGGCGAAACCAGCTGTTCTGAGTGGCTATCAAAGTATGCTGTCATGCGAGTTTAGTAAGCGCTCACCGGATGCAATTGAAGCCCACTGGTCTCATATTCACCAGTCCTTACTATCAGCAGGCAAATCCTCATGTGGTGAGTCTAATCGCCAACATGGACATTGGGTCTTTTCGCAGTCTCTGGAACTTATAGATGCTCGCCGACATATTCCAGCTGGAAGCGAATACAATGAATCTCGAAAAGAGCTCCGGACAAAACTCCGTGGTAGCCATAAGAGAGACCGCGAATTCTGGTGGTCTCATCTTGCTTCAGAGAAGGAAATGGCCGCTGCCCTTGGTAACCATCGTGAATTATTCCGGCTGATACGCGAAACGGTCAGCAGAAGACCTGGGGTTAGTGAAACTGTACGTAACGAGAGTGGACAGCCTATCCACAACTTGTCAAAACGCTTGGAGCGTTGGGCTGAGCAATCTGAAAGGCTATTTAATCGGTCGGAATAGATAGATTTCTCGCCGGCCGCTGTCCGCCCTGATCCGTGGGCTGTTGCTTTTGGATCCACCCTCTCGCTCAGAAGTCGAACGTGAGATCGAACTGTTTAAATTAAATAAAGCCGCGAGACCAGATGATCTTTGTCCAGCCCTCTTCAAATTCTGGGGCCCTGCTCTTGTGAATGATTTGTACGAGTTACTAGCGAAACTGTGAGGGCATGAAACTCTCCCAACCGACTGGAGCCGCTCCGTCATAGTCCCAATTTTCAAGAGAAGCTCACGATCGGAATGCGGCAACCACAGAGGAATCAGTCTGATCTTCATCGCATCCAAATTACTTGCTTCTGTCATCCTTCACAGACTGACTGGCACTCGTGAAAGCCAGATTCGTGAAGAGGAAGCCGGGTTTCGTCGAGATCGTGACAGCATTAACCACATCTTCACTTTGCGTCATTTGTTGGATCACCGTCACACATGTTGGCGGCCCACCGTTGTCGTGTTCCTCGATATCAAAGGTGCATTTGATTTGGTGGATAGACGTGCACTTTGGGACTGTCTACTCAGGAAAGAAATATGTAAATACGAAATATGTACATATTATCCAATCATTGTACGCACGTAGCTCAGGCAGAGTGAGGGCTTACGGCAAGCTGGCGTCGACGTTTAATATCTCCAACAGTGTGAGACAATGATGCTCACTATCACCTTTCCTCTTCAACTTTGCTATTGACGTAGTCATGGAAATCGCGTTCACAGGACTCGAATTAGAAAGTGTGGATGTGCTCACAGGACTTCTTGAGTTGGAGTATGCTGACGATATTGCCCTGATCTGTCACAGCTCCCTGACATGCTAAGCACTTCCTGTCAGTCGCTTCGGCCTTTGCTTTGCACCATCTTAGTGCAAAGGTTTCCTCTAATATTGGCCTGGACCGCCTCCTTTGCTGACCTTTGGTGGGGATCAGCTAGAAGTCGTTCCAAAATTCAACTACGAGCCGTATAGCAAAGGCTCGAGGTGCTTTTGCTAACCTTCGCCACTTATGGCGCCGGCGCGACATCACTCTCACCCTGAAGGGTAGAGTGTACAATGCAGCAGTACGTTCGACCCTACTGTACGGTTGTGAAACCTGGCCCCTTAAAGCAGCGGATCTGAAGAGGCTAGTTACGTTCGACCACCGGTGCCTTCGTAATTTAGCTCACATCTGGTGGGAACACCGCGTGAGCAACGAGCGTGTTCGACGCCTTGTTTACGGCACAGGAAAAGGAAATGAAACGCTCAGCACCGTTATTTCACGCATCAGGCTCCGATGGCTCGGCCACGTGTTACGCATGCCAGCCCACCGACTCCCGCGACGTGCGTTGTTTGCGCGCCGGGGGTGTGGATGGAAGAAGAGAAGGGGCAACCAAGCGATGACCTGGTCAAGAGGAATGAAAGCCCTCACTTCGAAGTTGACGTCAGTTGGAGCGTCTCGGCTCCTTGGTTGGGGTCCGAAAGACGATGAACATGTTTGGCAGGATACACTTGTTGATATGGTTAGGAGCCGACCTCAGTGGCATTCGTGCTGTGAGTTTCTTTGTCCCACACCATCCCTCTTAGCCTCCCACTTTAACCACAATCTCGTTATTTAACGTTTTATAATTTTGCATAGTAAGCCATTTTTTCTGCTGCATAGTAGCCGGCACGTAGGTTGCCGAAACGATGCCCATCCGTTATCCATAGCTCAGCTGGCTTGCACCTGTTGCATTTTTTCCTTTTTTTTGGATATTGCGGCACAGTAAATGAGGTGTTCCCCACCTCTAACTAACGTGTATGACGATGATGAATGCTTTTTAGCGTAGTGTCCCGCTCATCATACTGACTGTTTCTTTCATCATGAAAACCATATTTCAGAACAATTTGCAGATGCAAGCTAATGCTTTCTTATCTAAATGCGTTTCTTGGCCCCAGTAACGTAGTCGGCTGCTGATGACCCTGTCCATTGTCTGTGGATACAACACTATTGTAGATGAACCACCCCAATGAATCTCATGTGCAGATTTGTTCAGTGCATTTGGTGGTTGCTTTTCGCTGGTGTTACACGACATCTGAGTAACACCTGTGAAGCGTGTGCTTCGACAGACACATTTCTGACCGTATGCGACTACGTGTCAGCCCAGCTCTTCGCCGTTGTCATGCGGCAGTACGGCGGAACTTTGTTATCTTTGTTTTAATATTGGACGCACACAATTTTGGACCATCTTCCGTAGACAAAATCCTTCTCTGATGGCTACCATGTTCCTTTTCCTTTTACAGCTAATTTGTGAGTCGACCGATGATATTCGTGCTTTACACAATGATCTAAAAGACGTTTGCTCCGGCGATTTGAAGCTTTCAGCTATCTTGGCAAAACGTCCCCCTAAAAGTAGATCGGAAACCCCTCAATCCTGTGATCCGTTCACCCCCTCCCTAAAATTGGATCCAATTAAACTTGAACAATGTGCGGCATTAACTCCCGAGGGTACCGAGGACCCAATTGCACCAGCATTTATTGCACCACCATCTCCCGTTGCCGATAACTTGGGCATCTCAGAACCAATCAAAGCAGAGGAGCACACACAAGCATTTGAGAACACTAGCACACAGATGAACGGGATTGAACAAGTGTGAGTCGTTGTCCATTTGTCGACTTTCTGTCCTTTTGTTCGATCATAGTTGAGCTCTCCTAGCCTATTCTCCATCTACGCCTGTTCTCATCGGTTGTCAGGGAGTATAAACTTAAGCATAAACTGAAAATACTTGTAATCCACTGTGCTGCAGTATACTCACTCATCTTTCGATTTTATTAATTCAACACGTAAGTATATGCCTTCATCGCATTTGAGATCTCGCACTGACGGAATTAAACGGTTGTTAATTTACATAAGGCCATAAGGCCGGATGTATCCTCATCAGCGTTTCAGATTCCTGCTGACAGTTAAGATTTTGGTCGCTTATTATATTACCCAGACAACCATGCCTACTTGTAAGTGCCCACATAGTTATAAATATAGCAAAGTTCGGGGTGCTTTTGTAAAATCTCCGCCTCTGGTGAGGTAGGCGCGACTCCAATTTTACCCTGAAGGATAGACTACAATGCACTCATCCGTACAACTTCACTACACGGCCGCGAAACCCGGTCCACCAAATCGACGGATGTGAAAAGGCATATTGCTTCCGACCACCGGTGCTTCCGTAGTTTGGCTAGCATGTGATGAGAACATCGTGTGTGCGAAGTTTGCCTCCGTTGGAATCTCTCGATTCCCTGTTTAATGTCTGAAAGGGGATGAACACGTTTGATTGGATACACTTGAAGACATGACGAAATGCTGACCACAATAGCGTCTGCGTTGTGAGTTTCTTTATCCTCCCCATCTCTCTTATCATCGTTCTCCAACCACTATTTACGTTGCACAATATAAAACACCTATTAATATTTCTCGTTTTGTTTTACTTTTCCACTGCTTCCTGATTGCATTTTGTTGCAGCTGGAGTGTTTCCCACCACTAGAATGATGGTGACAAAGTACTCAAAATATTGTGTTAAAAATGTTCATTCACAACCAACTTCGCACTAACTGTTGAGCGCTTAGTCTTATTTTCTGGGCAGCAAATACCTCTTTTTTACTATCATGAGCGTTCAGCTATGAGCATTTGAGTTCTTCTGTGTAACTGTTCCGGCGCGAAGAATAGAAACACGCATATTTTAATCTTAACTCACCGCATCAGCGTCTTCTAAGATGGGCCCCAGAAGGTTGCGGTTCAGACACTCTCAGTAGCAAAGCTAAAACACTCAAGCATTCCAGCGTGTCTTCGGTACATCAGTACACTTTAGCTGCGGGTGGTACAAACCTCATGCATTGTGCCACAATACAAAAGCCAAGAAAAAAACAGGCAACAGATCCACGCCGTCTGTGTCATCGTGACGTTGTTCCGAAGAGATAACTGCCGTATATTGTGATGCAGAAGGATGTATTATATTATGCAAATGTATTCCGTCGCAACGAAACTGCACCTTAACGTGGTGCGACGTTTTGCGTACCTCATCGACCCATTGAGCAATACAGGGTGGTGCCTGTGGGCATCTTGGGAGCTACTCATGCCAGGTTGGTCAATGGTGAGAGGTCAGACATACTCAGTCTCCTAGTCCTCCAGGTTGGGGGTTTCAAATGCGATAGCGTCCATTTCTGTAAAACTAGATCACTGCCATCTCCTCGCTGCCTTGCGGACAGGCTTTTGAGCTTTGATTGAGGACCCTAATCATCCTTCTGTCTAGGTCTGGGCGCCCTGGCAGTATCTCAGCCCATATATAACCATGACCTTTTCCTCAAACATAAACTTCATCCTGCATCGACCATCACGCTGATTATCAAGAGTCGCCTTATCCGCTGCATAGAGCAGGGCGGATAAGCGAAAAATGCTACTATTGGTGCCACCTTTCTTTTCCAGCTGTTTCTATTATTCCTCTCCCGACCCGTATTACTAATCTTCTATAATTCGCTGCTTAATTGACAGCATTCGAAGTACCGCTGGAGTTGAACCATCTGTAGCCACCTTCCCACAACCCCCATCGGACACCTATAAACAACAGTCCCTTATAACGCCAAGCTCTTCCGTTTCCCTGGCGGCGTTCAGCCTTCGTATTCTAAGCCAAATAGATCAACAGGCTGCACTCGCACGCACCTTGGACCCACTAGGTATTGATACGTGTCAAATACCCGAAGCTAGGGTCGATGACCCTAAGGTGGTTGTTGAATTAGCTGTTCCCGGCTTGCCCTCCCACTATTGGATGCACGCATCCAGAGACGCCGATGCAGCACTCACGGGTCAAGCTGGTGTAGGTATTGTTCTAGGCCCCAAGGCTGAGCCATCGTTGGTTGATCGGATTCCTGTGAACAGCCGTTTATGTGCAGCCCGTTTGACGACATCAACAAAGGTTGATACACGAAGTAGTACTTATGCTCCCACCGACTGCAGTTCTAATATTGTCAAAGACACTTATCACGAACTGAACGCGCTACTATGCAGTGCTACTAGTTCAGATATTATAGTACTTGCAGGGGATATAAACGCACATGTAAGGCGTATGAGCTCTTCAGAAGTTCAGCTAGATGGTAATTATGGGTTAAACTCCGAACGGACTGACAACGGCGAGCATCTGCTACAACTGTGTGCGTAGCATCAGTTGTTTCTTAGTTGCACTGTTTTAGACACAGTGGGTGCCGAACTGCAACTGAGCGTCCTCATGTAGCTGGCCATCGATGGACCCGAATTGATCCCATTTCCATATGTTACAGGTGGCGTGATTCCATCCTGGATTGCCGCTCGTTCTGGAATACCTGCGTCGACTCTAATTGTGCCTTGGTACGCTGTCGTTTCTCCATGCACTTTACCGGGAGGCGCATCAAGCGTCTCCTCCGATTGGCAACTGAGAAATTGTCTCAGCCCTCGATCAGGCAAGCCCATCAAGACGCGCTACGTACCGAAATTTCGCTGTCTTTTATCACTGACACTGAGCTTCACTGGAGTAGGATCTCGGCTGCCATGCACGAGGTAGGAGCGTCTGCTTGTGGCACCATCAGTGGTCACCGCACCAGTCACTGGATATCCGACAGCTCAGTGAAACTGTTGGAATCCAGAATCCAGCGCGGTTGCACTGATACACAATAAGGAGCGCCGTATGGCACGTTGGGCGGAGCACTTTCGAAGGCGGTTCATTTTGACTCCCCTGTTCCCGGACCTCTTCCTATTCAGGTCATGCAGGACGAGCCCTCGACGGTAAGTTTAGTGGCTCCATCATAGATAGAAGTTCGAAACACGATCACAGTCCTCAATCGTTTTCGTGATGCTGGCCCGGATTCCCTCCCACCTGCACTATTTAAGCATAGAGGTGAGGTCATCTGCAAAGCACTGAACTCCCAATTCGAACGTATCTGGAAGAGTGTCCCGGCTAACTGAAGTGAATCGATAATGGTCGCAATATGCCGGAAGGACAGTCGCACAGACTGTTCTAATCACAGGGATATTAGCCTAACGCCAGTTGTGACAAAATTACTGGCCTCGATTCTCGTTCGTCGCTTCACTGTGGAACGGGAATCTCGGATAAGGGAAGAACAGGCAGGACGTGGCTGTATAGACCATATATTCACTCTGCGGTAGGTGCTAGAGCAGCGCCACGCATACCGCAGACCGATAATAGCTGTGTTCCTTGATTTCAAGAGTGTGTTCAATTCAGTCAATCGATGGAAAGGTGTTCCCACGAAATATGTGAACATCCTACTTGCTCTATACTCGAACACTACAGGTCGCGTCACAGTCTATGGTAATCTGTCGGATAGCTTTCTGACCACAAGCGATGTTCGTCAGCGTTGTCCTATTTCCCCGTTTTTGTGCAATTTCGTCTTGGACTCTATCATGTAGTGTATTACGATGTAGACGTTAAGGTCCTGCCTGGTGAAAGGTTGGTTGATCTTGATTATGCGGACGGTATCTTCTTGCTTTTCGGCTGCACAATCAAGCTTGAATAGCCTGTCTAGAGTGGTCCCATTATTTGGTATCCCCTTCCCACCTTCAAAGTGCAAAATGTTGCTGCAGGACCACCAGTCACTTGACGATGAACTCGTGCTGGTTGATCTATTCACTTACCTTGGCAGCTGCATCAGCGGCGATGGGCGCATAGAAACCAAACTCAGTTCACGCATTGTAAAGACCAGAACTGTCTTCTTGTATTGGCGGCCTCTTTGGCGACAGAAGAGAGTTTCTCTCCGTCTGTAAGGCCGTGTATACAAAGCCACAGTGAGGGCCGTCCTGCTGTATGGGAGTGAGATTTGACCCCTACTTTCTGAAGATCTGAGGCGCCTTCAAGTCTTTGATCATCGTTGTCTGCGAAGCAGTACTGGTGTCGAATGGCACCAGCCTGTCCGAACGATGATGTGCGTAGGTGAGTACTAGATAGTGATAATCATGCTAGCTCCCTGGAACAACAGATAAAACTGAATAAGTTGCGTTGGCTCGGGCATGTGCTACGTATGCCTGGTCACCGCTTACCTAGGAGGGCGTTGTTCAGTCTGCCAAGTGTAGGGTGGCGCAAGCCTCGAGGTGGACAGAAGTTGACTTGGCAGCGAGAAATAAACTCACTGACGATCAAACTGGGTGCCGTTGGTCCGTCTCGGCTTCCGGGCTGGAGTCCACGTGACTTGCCTTGTGCTTGGCTCGAGACTTTACAGGACATGGCTCGCAACCGACACCAGTGGCGCGTCTGCTGCCGTCTCCTAATCGGATTGCCTGTTGTGTTTGATGCTGAGTTATCTGCGGGGTAATGGCTGATTATGACGCGGGGCAGTGTAAGCCGCAAGGAAGCTGTTTTGCCGATGTCGCCTTATCTTTGCACGATGGCCAGCTGTTCGTGACGGTATGTTGTCTACACAAGGTGTAGGTGCCCTGACCCTGAATGTTTGCTTAGGGCATTAAGGTTTTCAGGTAAGTGCCCCTTCTCTCCCTCTTCTTAATCTTTATTCCATAGGTCATCATGGGTTTATGGCAGCGAAGCATCAGTTCACATGACTGATATACTGTTGTTGTTGATGATGATGACGCAAATGTATTGAGATCGTGGTTGGAGGAGGGAG